GACCGATGCAAAATATTCGTTTAGATATTGTGCCATGCCTAGATTATCCTTAATCTCCATGTCCCTATGCCTCCACTCCAATTCAACCCCGGCCCCAGTCTGTCCTCCCCTACTAGCCCTTATGAGCCCCTGTCTGACCCCCCCCCACCCACGCTGCTGTCTCCCCATAACCCCTGTCTCCTGCGTAGAAGGCTCTGCAGGATCTTTCTCTTCCCTAGCTTGCTGTTCTATCGCCAAAGCGCCCTCTGGTGGGCAAAAGGAAGCACTGCAGAAGTTATTTTCTGCTGGGAGGTGCTGCTGTATTCGGGCAAAAGGTGGAACTGCAGCAACTTTTCAGCAGAAGCTTTTTTCTGCACAAAAAGTTTAAAATACGCACGGCTAATTAATTATGCATGCGTGCAGTGGCACAGAATTCCCCCAGGAGTGAAAAGGACTAGGAGCCAAAACTCATCAGTTCTATTCCAAAGTGCTACATTCTGTTGCCTTAATACTACTTAACATATACAGCATATCTCATCCAAGAATTTAAAAATATTTTACAAATATTCTTTATGCCTTGTATTCCCTGTAGCATGATATAAATAAGTATCACTGTTCCCATTGTTCAGGTGGCAAAATTTGAAGCTTGGAGAGATTTAAGTGTCTTGCCAGAAGCTACAAAGTGAGGGAGTGGTAACACTATGATTAGAACTCAAGTTGCCTGACTGTGTCCCATATCTAATCAATTGAGAGACTTAAACTGTGTCCCATGCAACCCACTTAATTCCTCTATTCCTGTTTGTGTGTATATAAAATAGGGATAACTTATTTATCTTGTGCTTTGAAAACATAAAGCAATGTAAAATTATTATTATTGTTACTGGGGCAGATCCAAGAGCAGCACTACAAATAGACAAGTAAACATTGCTCCCTTCATCTTAGCTCTGCTGTTTCCAAAAGCCAGCAAAATCTTAGCTTGGCAGATCCAAACCGAACAGAGCAGGAGAAGCTTGTTAACGATGCTGAATTCAGTTTTTAGTGGACCAAAATATGGCAACCCTTGAACTACTGGCTAGTGTGGTACATGGAAGCAAATGATGTACATGAATGTGTTGCAGAGCGCCTCTTAAAATTAAGTTGCTCAAAGCCAAAGAAAATTCCCAGACAAAAAATGTTGAGCTGGAGTTAGTACAATGTAACTGAAACTTAAGAGGAAAATACCTTTGAGAATTAAGCCTCTTTGGGGCTAAATCACTGTTATGAAAATGTTTAGAAAAATCATGTCTATAGGTAGCATATACTATCATTTTAATGTACATGCTAATTTTGTAGCTTAGAAATCAAGTAACACATATACCTTGTTATAACTTGACACTTTTTTCACTGACAAATACACATAACAAAATGATTATTAAAGATACAAGTCTTCTGTAGCACTTCTTTCACATATTTATTGTAAAATCCCACCGGAATAAAATAAAAGAATTCACTAAGATTGTATTATTTTATTTCGGTTTCTAACATACCATTTGGCTTCACATTACTGAAAGAAACAGGAAAGTCACACAAAATGGCTTTTTCAATGTCTGAAGGCCAGTAAATTCAAAACTGATGTTACACTTTTTTTTTTAAAGGCATGGAAATGCAGAATGGAGGTACCCATTCTTCTGCCCTTCTTTTGCCCTAAATCAAGACAATCATCTGTCTGCAGGTCAAGCAGTTTCAAAACTGTTCCACTGATCTATCCTGACTACTGACAGAGGGAAGAGAGGGGTTTAAATAGTACTCGTGGGGGAATTCTGCACCACTATGTGCATGCAGAATTCATGTCCCCCACATTTTTCTTTAATTTCCTGCAAAAAAATGACTTTCTGACGGGGAAGCAAATGGAAACTGCAAGAGTGGTCACGCGCCCCTTTTCAGCAGCATGGGCGCATCATTTCAGGCACCCAGAACAGCTGGCAGAGAGGTAAATCACTGCGGCGGGGAGAGAAGGGGGATGCTGAGGACGCCCCAGCTGGTGGCTCCTACCCTGTACTGGGCTTAGCTGCTATTCCCAGCTGGGCTGGGGAGGACAAGACTTCCTCTTCCCCTGCAAGGAGTGACAGGGTTTGGGTCAGACCCACCCCCAGAAACCTCCCCTGGCTGCAGGAACCTCTTCCCCCTTCCTGCCCCCATCACACCTAAGTCATGGGAGGACGGGTCATTGAGGATGGGGAGTTGCTCCCCCATCCACCCAAACCCCGTGCATCTGGACCCCCCATGCCCAGGCCCCCCTGCCAAGCCTCACCTCCCCCAGAACTCCCCGCATCCAAACTCCCACCCTGCCATGCCTCACCCCCTGCATCCAGAGCCCCTCTGCACCCAGACTCTTCCTGCCGAGCCACAATCCCCCACACCCAGGCCCCTATGTGCTGAGCCCCATCCCCCCACACCCATCCCTCCGATGAGCCCCAACCACCTTCACCTGGACCCCCCGGCAGCATCCCATTGCTCCTGCGCCCAGAACCCCACAATGAGACCATGTGCATCCAGCTCCTCCCTGCACCCAGGTCCCCCACGGAGTTGGAGGGTTGCCAACTGTTTAATTGCACAAACCCAAACACCCTTACCCTGCCCCCTGCCACACCCCTTCCCTGAGGCCACGGTCCTGCCCCATTCCTTCTCCAAGGCCCCGCCACCCGCTCACTCCATCATGTCACTCGCTGTCCCCCACCCTCACTCCCTTTCACCGGGCAGGGGGTTGGGTGCGGAAGGGGGTGCGGGCTCTGGCCTGGAGCCGAGGGGTTTGGAGTGTGGGAGGGGACTCCAGGCTGAGCCTGGGGCAGAGTGTTGGGGTGCAGGATGGAGTGTGGGCTCTGGGAGGGAGTTTGGATGTGGGAGGGGGCTTAGGGCTGGGCAGGGGGTTGGGGTGCAGGAGGTAGTGAGAGGTGCGGGCTCCGTCTCGGCGATGCTTACCTCAGGCAGCTCCTGGAAGCAACTGGCATGTCCGGCACCTAGACCCAGGGCCGGCTAGAGGGCTCTATGCGCTGCACCTGCCTACAGGCACTGCCCCCGCAGCTCCCATTGGCTGCGGTTCCTAGCCAATGGGAGCTGTGGAGTTGGCGCTCGGGGCGGAGGCAGCACACAGAGACCCCCTGGCCACCCTTGTGTCTAGGAGCCAGAGGGACATGCTGGTAGCTTCCGGGAGCCATGCGGAGCCAGGGCAGGTAAGGAGCCTGCCTTAGTCCCGCTGTGCTGAGGACCGGACTTTTAGTGGCCTATTAAAATCTCCCAGATTGGTTTCAGTAGCCACCAGGAGATCAATTTTGATTCTGGGAGGCTCCTGGCCAATCTGGAAGAGTTGGCAACCCTACTGAGTGCTTGCATCGATTGCCCCACACAGAACCCTCTCTCCCACACCTGGAAGCCCCCACACTTGGATCCTGCCAGGCTGAGCCTGTCTACCCACACCTGGTGCAGAGGGGCAGGACCCTGGGGTGTTTCTGGGGAAAGTCCGGCCCTTGCACTGTGCCAGGGTTGGGTGTAGCCTCTGTGTCTGTGGGTGGTGCTGCAGGGTGATCTCCCATCTCCGTGCAGCCAGTGGCCTGTACTCCCCACTGCCATGCTAGAGTAGGGTTGCCTGGTGTACGGTTTTCGACGGGAAAGTCTGGTTGAATGTCTGGTTAGCACTGCTGGCTGGACACTAAGTTCGGTTATCTGCAGTAACCAGCCTCTGCCACGTGGGGCAGGGGAAAAGCAGCAGCTGCTGGAGCCTGGAGGAGCACTCAGGAACGGCTCCCTCCAGTGGAGAGAGGTACCGGCGGCTCCCCCTCCTCTACCCTTCCCCACTCACCCCTCTGCCCCTGGAGCACACCTGCCCCGCCCCAGTCACCAATCTACCCCTGCAGCCCTGATCACCTGGTGGGAGGAGGGAGGTTCTAAGAGCAGGGGGAGCAAACATTAAAAAGGCGCCCCCCCCTTGGCTCCTCCTCTGGCCACGCCCCCCCAGGCTGGCTCCTCCAGCCATGCTGCGCCCACCCCCCCCATGGCACCTCCGGCCGTGCCGTGCTGCCCACGCGGGCCCCCGCCATGGCTCCTCCGGCTGTGCCGCCCCCCCCGCCATGGCTCCTCCGGCCGTGCCACCCCCCCTTGCCTGCAGGAGCCCAGCGCCGGCCCAGCAGGCCAAGCTTCAGAGCGGAGCGTGGGCCCCGCCCGCTGGCGCCATGGTAACCCCTAACTAAGGCACCGCTTTTGGAAAATGTGCTGAGGGGAAGTGGCTGCTTCCCCTGCACCCCCACATCTACACTACTGAGGGAGGTGGAGAGAGCAGTGAGCGGGGGAGGGACAGGGCCTCGAGAGAAAGAGGTGGAGCAAGGGGAGATTCTGGTGCTCAGTGCCTGGTTTTCACACTTTAGAAAGTGGGCCACCCTGTGCTAGAGCCTCCACATTTATTTATTGACAAATAAAATTTACAGAATCCTGCAGAATTTTAAAACAGTGTGTGCAGATTTTTTTTTTTTTTTTTTGTAGAATTCGCTCCGGAGTAGGGTGACCAGATAGCAACTGTGAAAAAACGGGATGGGGTTGGGCGCCTATATAAGAAAAAGTCCCAAAAAACGGGACTGTCCCTATAAAAACGGGACATCTGGTCACCCTACTCCGGAGCAAACAACAGGTTGATCTGGAACGCCCCTGTCAATGCAAAACCATCCCGCCTTCGCAGCGACCTTAAACACGCCCCACAATTACCAGCAAAAAGAAACAACCCAAGCGCAACACGTGGCTTTACGCGCCCCCCTTCCCGTGCTGCCCCTTAACCCCGTCCCTCCCCCCCTCCCCCAGTGCACCCGCTATGGGAGCCCCGCCCCCTCTGCCATTCCATCCCCGTGAGCCCCGCCCCCTTCTGTGAGCCCCGCCTCTCCCGCCCACAGCAGCCCCAGGCCCCGCCCTGTTCCCCCGCCCGCGAGCTGAGTCCCCCGCTCCCTCCTCCCCCCGCCCCTGGCTGCCAGGGCCCGTCGCTCTCCCGTGACGTGCCAATGGCGCCGCCGCGCTCTTGCTGCGCCCCGGAGCCGGAGAGCGGGACCGGGGACGCGGGGCCGGGGGCTGCTCTCGGGCTGAAGCGGCCGGTGGGCCCGCGGGAGCGAGCAGCCCTGAGAGGCGCCTGGGGCTGCTCAGCGCGGGGTAGGGGCTGGGGGATCTACCCCTGGGCATTGGGATGGGCTGCCCCAGGTCTGGCGGGAGAGGCTGGGGGCTGCCCCGGGACTAGCCCGACTATTGGGGGGCTGGGAGCTGCCGGCTGCCTCAGGTATGGGGGGTGTCACCCCAGTCACTGGGTGAGTGTGGGCTTGCTCGACTGGGACAGGTTACAGTCACTGTATGTTTTGAAGGGGACGTGGACTGGTGCTCTTCTTTTGGTGGCAGCAGTGGGGACAGGGTGGACTAGGCACTAATGTTTTTACTTTTGGGTGCCCCTGGGGACAGGGTGGACTAGGCACTGCCCCTATTTTTAGTAGCTCTTGACTACGTTCCCTGTCTACGATAGCACTCAAACTATTACTATCACCAGAATAATTTTTATCTCACACCCTTTTTATATAGCTGAAAGTTATTTTTGTTAATCAAGTTGTTAGTGGGAAAGATCCTGAAAAAAGTTAGTATTGACAAGACACTTGGATGTGTTAGTGCTGGACAGCGAAACACTCCTCTCCCATGGTAACCTGTGTTCATTGAAGTACCACGTAACCTGTGTTCGTTCATGTACCACGGCAGGCTTTTTCTCATGGTGTAACCTGTCCTCTTAAAAAAAGTGTGAGATCAAAATTAGGGTGTTTATATATAATGAAACAGAGGTTATGATGTAGCAGTTTGGTTTGGTTTTATCTGTAACACTACACATATTGGGCTAACCGTATTTTAAATTTAAGTACATTAACACATACTTACAGAGGTTCTACGTGTGTAATTAGTCACTAATGTCTCTTTTTTTTTCTTTGTATTTTCCAGGTCTTGAAATGGAATCAAAGATCAAACATACAGTTGTATTTGCAATGAATTGACTTTACCACTCATTTGTGTTGAAATGGAGAGTATTACACAGCTGTTTAGTGATTTGTGTGAAGCACACATGACAGGTTTGTCATGGAAGGTCCATCTGGGCAGACAGAAGATCAGCAAGAAAAGGGCTAAGCAAAATCTAAAAAGGGTTGCATATAATGCCCTGTTCATGAATCTTTTTCAGGAGGAGGCACGTAAAGTGCCATCAAACATTTCCAGACTTCCAGTGAAAAACAAAATTTTAATGCTGTCTTTCAACTTGAGAGTTGGCGGAATGGGCGCTCAAGCAGATAGGCTGGAGAAACTCGTGGAGGAACTGGAAACATCTGATTGCTTACCATTTACGGAAATTAATTCTATTCTGGATCTTCTAGTACAGCTTGTAGGAACTGGTCCCCCTCAGCTTCTACCACAAAAAAAGGATTATTTTCTGAACAACAAGTATGTTGGGAGAAATGTTAAATATCAGGGTTATGATTATTATGATGTGAGTGTATTTGAAGCTGATATACAGACTTTAATTACAAATGAAGAGTATCAGTTTAATGACACAATTCAAAAGACAGTTCAGATAATGGAGGCTGCACCCGGCACTGGACTTCCTGCCATCGGATTATTTTCACAGAACTACCCTATTGGTGACAAGTTTGAGAAGGAAACACGTGTCTCACTCTTTGGTGCTCTTGTCCATAGCCGTACGTATGACATGGACATCAGGTTGGATTTGCCACCAGTACCTGACAGTGCGGATTTGTCTGGACTTGCGATTAAAGTATGGTGTCTTTATTTTCAGTATACTTATTATTTTACTTCAGAGTATATACATACTTCCAATATGCCCTTTTGAAACTCTTTTTTTTAATAAACAGCCATTTCTTGTAGTAGTATCAACATTACAAAGGTGTGGATTAAAACATTTGCTTACGTCTTTTCCTGCTCATAATATTTAATTTACATGTGAGCATCCCTCTGTACATATCTGTTCTAGTATCCAGTTTTGCTGTCAAAGTCTACTTGTATATAAAATAAGTAGTTTAAGCTTTTTTTAATTGGAGCTCTTCTTGAGATGGATTGATGTAACCCCCCCCACACACACACACACATGAAACCTTTCACTAAGCATAGTTTCCACTATCTCTTTTTTGCTATTGTTTTTCTCTTCGTCTTGTATTGTTATATAGCACTGATAGGCACTGCAGAAGAAGCTAGATTAACAGATTTGTTGTTGTTGTTTTTTTTTCCTGTGGATGGGTATCTTTTGCTTTTTCTGTTTTTAATCTTTCTTTTTTCCTTTTATTTTATTGTTGCCCCTGTAATTCTCCCATTTAATAGAGAAGGCTACATGCTACTTAGGGTGAAGTTGGTCCAGTAGCAGTTTCTTTTGCCTAGGCAGTGTATGCTTTTGCTACTGAGCTAAGTTTGGTGGGAGCAGAGGCATGGGCTAGCACAGTGGAGGGAGCTGTGGGAAGCGGCGTGGGCTGCAGGGACGTGTTGGTCGCCGCTTCCCGCAGCTCCCATTGGTCGAGAACAGCGAACTGCAGGCACTGGGAGCTGCGGGCAGCCGTGCAAATGTAAACAAACTGTCTCGTGGCCCACCAGTGGATTACCCTGAAGGGGCTGCAGGTTGCCCACCACTGGGCTAGCAGGTTGCTGCCTGAATCTGCAGCCCTATACACAGGAATTTCAGATTCAGCTTTCATTAGGATTTATGACAGGAACATGGAAGGAAGGCTGGCATGCTTAAAGGAGCTGCATGCCACTTTACCTGTAGCTGTGGGTGCACATTGTAGTTGAAGGGGTGAGTCAGATCCTGGGTCAAGGAAGCAACTCTTTTTTTTTACATGCCTGTACCCCTTCTCTCAGGTTGGAAAACACCGTGTTAAATGTTCTTAGGAGCAACTTGTGTCCAATCAATTTGACCTATTACACAGACTTGGGGTATTACATTGCACACCAAGCTCCCAACAAAGTCAGTGGGAGTTCCATGATTGGGATGTTTAGAGGCCCTGATCCTGCAAACACGTGCCTGATTTTATGCACATGAGTAGTCCCAGTGAAAACAATGGAACTGGTCATGGACACTTTAATCACATGCATAAATATTTGTGGGATCAGGGCCTAAGTCACTTATTTTGTGAAAAAGAAAAACTAAACAGATTTATTTTTCTGGAGCATTATGTATTATTCGACATGTAGTTTCTGAACTGACGTTATATTCAGAGTAAAATATTTCCACTTCTGGTACTAACAAATTGTTAATATCTTAATTTGATTATTCCATTGGCTACCAAAAAAAAGGCTTGTCAGAAATTGAAGTGGATTTTATTGTTTTTGTTACAAATAACAAAGTTTCAGTTTGTATAAATAATAAAGCCCAAGTCCTTAAAATGAACATCTTTGATTAATTGTTAAATTGAGGCCAACAATTAAATGGGATTAGCATAATTTTCCTCAATGAATGTTGCATATATGTGTAAAGTTTGAACTCTCATGGTTATTTACAGGTTCCTCAAAGTATAGATCAATCAGATGACGAGGGATTCCAATCAGCATCCAATCTGACTCCTGATTCTCAATCGGAACCCAGCATGACTCCAGACATAGACCTCTGGGATGCCGTACTTACTTATGGACCCAGCAAACGAAGATGTTGGGAAAGAATTGGATGGTATGTGTTTGATGTTAAGATGCAAAATAATTGCATGCTTTATGTATGGTTTGTATGTATTTCAGTTGGAAGTGACCTTAATTAGAACAAACAAACAAACAAAGGAATATACCATCTGATTTAGAACATGGAGTTCAATATCTTGAGGCTCAGAAGCTTATTTCTGTTCCCACTGAGCTATGTTTTTGCCAGATGACAGTGTAGCGCTCTATGGCATTTTTCAAGGGGCATGACAGTTTTCCTTGCTGCCATTTAGATTTTGAGATTTTAGTGGCATGGACTGTGTCTTCATATGTGTGTGACAGAGACTAGCACATAGTGGGTGCTACCATAATAGAAATCAATAACACTTTAGGTAGAGGGAGTACTTCTCATTTTATGAACAGCTATTCTTGTTCTATGGGGGGGAGGGGATTTGCATATGTTAATGCAAGTACTTGGAACTTTTAGGATCCCTTTTCTTCTTCAAAGCAATTAACAAACATGAACCACAAGTTAAATAAATATTGTCCTCATTTTTCTGATGGGGAAACTGCAACATTTTCAGGGCTATGGAGGATCTGGTAACTCCAGTCCAGTGTTCTTTCTGTTTGTGAACAGTTGACACAAATAATCTATCAATGGGAATTCTTGACATGTATATAATCCCCTTCACTCTACTGATCATTTCAACCAATAAAATGGCATTATGCAAATTAACAGTAGCATCCTAATGAACAGTTTTAGTTGATTGGTTTTGATGGTTGTCATTTTGTCAAATGGCAGCATTTAAGAATGACTTGAGCTTTAACATGGGCTTGACTACCCAATAACCATTATTAATGGTTGATATTTTTAATTTAGCTAATTTCAACCTATTTTCTTCAAATGGAACTTTTGCACAAGGTTTTAATATGAATTATATGGAAAATGTTAAGAGCCTATTTTGTTCCATTATTCAGATCATTTGGGTCAAGAAAAAGACAGGGAATGTTGAATTTCAAAAAATGATTATTTTTAAAATATTTGTGCTAGGGAATATAAGGAAGTACTTAACCCAGAAATTGATCTAGAATATTCACTTGTCCTGTGAAAAGCAATTATGCCAATTCTTGAAACAAAATTCATTAATTACACTGTATAATAGACTAAACATTAGCTGGACTTACCTATCAATATGGATCTATAGAAGGTGTATGATCATGTACCATGAGAACTATTTTGGTGGATTTTGTGATGGAGAGGTGTGCCAGAAGGGTATGTCCATCTTATCAAAGATATGTATGATGGAGTGACTACCGTAGTCAAAACTAAATGGGGCTATGTTAGAGAATTTCCTGTAAGCATTGGCCTGCATCAGAGATCAGCATTGATCCTCTTTTTATTTGCAGTTCTCATGGATGTGGAAAGTGAGAGTATACAAAGAACTGCTTTGGAAAATGCGGTTCACTGATGACCTAGTGATATGTGCAGAAGATTGGGAGATCCTGCAAGTCAATTTTGAATAGTAGCAACATAGTTTTGAGCAGGCTGGACTTAAAGTGAACATGGGTTAGACCGTGGCTATGATAACTGAGGGAGAAGGACTCTCCGTAAAGGATATCACAGGCAGAAAGCTTAGAAGAATGAAATAGTTTAAATACTAGGATCAGTGGTTGCTGATGATGGTGTCCTCCTGAGTGATATCCAGCATAAAGCTGTGTGGTGCAAATGGCAGGAGCAGATCCCAGTTCTCTATGACAAAACGATGCCAATAAAGTTAAGATAGACTGTATAAAACTGTAATTCGACACATCTTAATGTATGGAACAGAGACCTGATCAGTCGCAAGAAATCAATATGCTTAGAGCCCTTTGCTGATACAAAATTTGTATCCGTATCCAATCCGCAATCTGCAAAAATGATCCGTGGATATAAAGCAGATATCTGCAAATTTGCAGGGCTCTAAATATGCTCTCCACCATGGAAATGAAGATGTTGATGTGGTCAGATGGTTGGACGCTCCATGATAGGAAGTGAAATGAGGTTGTAAGGGGCCTAAAGGCAGGTTGCTCCAATTGAGCACAACTTGAGGGAGGCAAGGCTCTGTTGGTATGGGCATATCAGTGGAGACGAGAGAGCTCTATCAGCAGCAGAGCTCTTGCAATTGTTGTGGATGGAAGATGACCGAGGAGGAGACAAAGACTCAGTATGTGGACCTGATATCAGCAGAGTACAGTGAGCCCAATCTGCACAAGAGCCTGACATACACCTCGTGAGTTTTGAAAGAAGGCTATAAAAGTTGCTGGGAAGTGGAAAGAGAGGAGGAGGAGAAGTGCTGTTTTAGCTCATATGTTTTGTTTTAACCCAGTAGTTCTCTACCTGTGGTCTGCAGATCCCTGGGGGTCTGCAGACTATGTCTAGGATTTCCAAAGGGGTTCGTACCTCCATTTGAAAAATTTTTTAGAGGACTGCAAATGAAAAAAGGTTGAGAACCATTGTTTAAAACCACTTATAAATTTGCCCAGGATCTTTGTAAGAAAGTATCCACTCCAACTGCAGTTCTAAATTGTGCACAGATATGAAAGACGTAATTAAAAGATGCATTCTAGAATATTGGAAAAATCTAGTTCCTTTGCTATATAACAGGGATCGGCAACCTTTGGCCCGCGGCCCGCCAGGGTAAGCACTCTGGCGGGCCGGGCCAGTTTGTTTACCTGCCGCGTCCACAGGTTCAGCCAATCGCTGTGCTGGCCACAGCTTCCCACAGCCCCCATTGGCCTGAAGCGGCGAACCATGGCCAGTGGGAGCCGCGATCGGCCGAACCTGAGGATGCAGCAGGTAAACAAACCGGCCCGGCCTGCCAGGGTGCTTACCCTGGCAGGCCGCGGGCCAAAGGTTGCCGATCCCTGTTATATAAGGTACGCGGACTTGTGAATAAACTTGTGCTTAAGTGTTGTGGGACCAGGTCATGTGTGATTGTTTTCTAGTGGCTTTTCAATGCCATTTAGCAATAGTTATTTTTATAATTAAGTTATTACTGGAAGCTGTGTGTAATATATGAACAGTATTTTGAATGTTTTGGTTCTGTGTTTAGATTTCAGGTTCTTTAATGCAGGGACATGCCTTTCTGTTTGTTCTGTAAATTCTCTAGAACACATCTGGTGCTGTAAAAATTATCGTAATTAAGAATGAGTTGGTAGTGGAGAGATTTTTAGGTTGTAGTTCAGAATTGGCTCTTGGCAGTTGCCTAGCATTTTTAACACTTGTGCTGCAGAACTTCAGTTACTATTTTAACAAACATTATTTGTAACTTCAGCAGTTAATTTGTATAGGTAATTTTGTGTAAGCAGTGGTAGTCTCCTTCCCTTCCTCTTTGGGAACCCAACCTGGTCTTTTCACTCTTCCTGTCAGGAGCTGGTGCAGACAGGATCTTGGGGTCAAATACATCTATCACAGGGGTCTCAAATTCAAATGACTATGAGGGCCACATGAGGACTAGTGCATTGAACCGAGGGCCGTATCACTGACACCCCCCCTCGCTGCCCCTGGCCCCGCCCCCACTCCACCCCTCCCATTAGGCCCTGCCCCTGCCCCACCTCTTCCCACCCCTTCCCTGCCCCATTCCAACCCCTTTCCCAAAGTCCCCACCCCAACGCTGCCCCCAGGGGGTGCAGAAAGGGTGCAGGGTGCGGTGGTGGCTCAGGGCAGGGAGTTGAGGTGCAGGAGGGGTGTGGGATGCAGCACAGGCTCAGGGCAGGGAGTTGGGGTGCGGGTTGTGGCAGGGGGCTCAGGACAAGGGGTTGGGGTGTGGGATGTGGCAGGGGGCTCAGGGCAGGGGGTTGGGGTGCAGGAGGGGTGCAGGGTGCAAGCTCCAGCCCGGCGCCGCTTACCTAGAGCAGCTCCGGGGTGGCAGCGGCGCGCACCGGAGCCAGGGCAGGCTCCCTGCCTGCCTGCCCTGGCCCCCGGCCCCACGCCGCTCTGTTCCAGGAAGCAGCTGGAACCGTGTCCCTGCAGCCCCTGGGGCGGGGAGGGGGAAGCTCCCATTGGCCGCGGTTCCCTGTTCCCAGCCAATGGGAGCTGTAGGGGGCGGTGCCTGGAAGGAGGCAATGCAGGAGCCCTCTGCCTCCTTCCCCCTCCCCCCCCGGCCCGAAGGGGCGTGCTGCCAGCTGCTTCAGAGAGTGGCACGGGGCTCGCAACGCCACAGGAGGCAATCCTGCGGGTAGGCAGGGAGCAGGGGTGGGGCGCGGGGAGCTTGGCGGGCCACACGAAAGAGCCCCGCGAGCCGCGTGTTTGAGATCCCTCATCTATCACTTTCTTCAAGAATGCCATTTCCTGCATGCTTTTGACAGTTGTCCACACAGCCTCCTTATGCAAATGTTGCATTGTAGATAATCCACTGGGGTAAAACATTTTAATGACTGTGTAAAGTTCTGAAATGTCTTTATTTTAAAGGAAAGCAGTTGATTTATTCTTGGCTTTTATTGTTTTTGTATTTTTTCTGACACAGCCCACCTGGTAAAAAAGAGGAACCATATCTTACTGAAGCTGGACGAGAAGCTTTTGACAAATTTTATAGGCTTCGAGAAGGGGAATTAGAACTATTTAGTAATACCATTCTCCAGCTTCCACAGCTTGTGCTAATGAAAGAATTTGAACTGGTTAAAGATGTTTTGAATGTCCTTATTGGTGTAGTATCAGCTACATTTTCACTTAATCAGGTATGAAAAACTTTTCTAAGAATGATCATGTTCAGTCACATCAGATTTCATGATTTTTGGTAGAGATTTTTGCAAGAGAAATAAATTTTTTGCATTTGAAGTTTTGTGACTCCTATTAGTACAACTTAAAATAATCAGAGAACTCTTTTACTGCAGTTTAAATGTCCAAAAAAGTCTTCAGAGATCTGCACAAGAAAACGTGTGAGGAAGTAAATTAATGGATTCCATGAATGCATTAAAGTGATGAAAATAATGTATAGAGAACTGTTTGGTTAAAAGATTAAGTAACAAGAATTTTTATATACACTTTAAAATAATTATGATTTAATTTTCCTTCTAAAATTGTGCTACCTTTTATATCTTTTTATCTTTTTGTTTTAGGTATTTAACTCCAGTCACCATAATATTTAAACTTTTAATTTTGCTTGTTGTTATTTTGGGGGGGGGGGGGGATTGTTTTCAGGCAGTTGGGGGTGAGGTTGTGTAATTATATAGCACTGAATATATAGTTCTGAAATAACTAACTGGTACTGTCTCCCTTTCTGCACCATTCTAGGCTGCTCAGACATTTGTGATAAAGCAGGGGATATATGTATCTGGAACATCACCTGAGAGCATGAACAATCTCCTGTCAGAAGTTGCTGAATATGGAACATATTACACACGATTGAGTCGCTTCTCTCTTCAGCCAGTCTTAGACTCCTTGTACAGCAAAGGGCTTGTATTTCAGGTAATGTACTTGAATGGTGCTAGCCTGCTCAATAGTGTGTTTATTCTTCCTGTAGAGGAATGATCTTGACATGCTGTTTTATTGGGAAGTAAAGGGTGACTGTTTCTCAGGTTCTGCAGTATTGCTAAATATTTGTATAGTAAATATATTAAAAATATAATAGCTCTTTTTTGTAAGTGTAAATGCACTTAACAATCTAAAAGAAATAAAATGAGTGAAACAGTCCACTTTAATACCTTTTATTAGATCATGTCAGTTTGAAATTGCTTACTGCTTCCGTGTAGATTTTAGTTCTCCAAATGTGACTTGGATTAAGCAATGCACTGAATCTGTGCATGGTGAGGTGTAATTAATTTTGTTGCTGTCAAATAAGTATTATTTTTTACCCAGAAGGTCAAAGGAAATCTTCTTTGTTTGTAATACCCTATTACAACGATGAAAATAAAAATGACCTGATTTTGATACATTCTCTTTTTAAATACTCAGTGTAATTCACATTAATGTTAATAGGTGTTGTCCATATGCATGAAAAGGAAAAAATCCTATTATCTTTCAAATACACATCTGTTCTTGTCTTACCATTGAAACTGGACTTCTTTTTTTTTTAAGGTAACGTACCCAAATTAGAATGCAGTAAATGTGTTTTCATGTTGATGTACTGTAATCAGTGTGAACGTAAACTGAGCACTAACAGTTTTAACAGCAGGGTGTTGTCAATGTTTTTTCTTCTATTAGGCATTCACAAGTGGATTGAGGAAGTACCTTCAGTATTATCGAGCATGTGTTTTGTCAACACCTCCCACTTTAAGCCTTCTAACAATCAGTTTTCTCTTCAGAAAATTAGGACGACAGTTAAGGTAATATTATAATATTAAAGCATTGTAGGACTGAAAAAATGAAATCCAGTCCCTTCTTTATGAACACTGAAAATACACTACTAGAGAAGCCTTCCTATTCAATCTTTGGTGTTCATTTCCTAATATTTTCACAGAAAAAATTCTTTAAATTCCAGCGGCTGGTGGTAGTAATAATACTACGTAGCTCTTATAGAGTCTTTTTCATCAGTAGATCTCAAAGCACTTTACAGATAAGCTCTTATTATATATCCCCACGTTTTACAGATGGGGAAATTGTGGCACAAGGAGGTGAAGTGAGTAAGGATATACAAGGGCTGATAAACTAGATAACTTTAGTATAAATAGACCTAGAGTCCTGGCCAAATTCCAACTTGAGTCACAGTCTGGTTATCTAAATATTTTCTATAGCTTGAATTGGAGAAATGTTCTCCACCTCCCCTCCCTACACCTGTTCTAGTTTGATGCTGCAGAATGATAGCCTCATGCCACCCAAGTGTGGCACATTTCATTGATCACTGTAAATGCCCTGGGATACTTCTGTTTGAAAGATGCTACATAAATGTAATTTTTTTGTTTAGGTATTTAGCTGAGCTCTGTGGCATAGGAACAACTGTATTGGGGATCAGCAGAGGTGCTGGTGCTTCATTTCCTACGGTGATTATTGATCTTTTTTGGAAACCTATTGTTTTAGTGTTAATATCAGTATATCAGCTTCAAATACAATTGAGCAGGTTTTTTAAATGCTCAGTGTTGGCCTCTGCTCCCAATGAAGTCAATGGGAGTTTTAGCAAAGAACACTATTAGATCAGTGCTGAATGCTTTTGAAAATGCCACATAAGTGTTGCATTAAATGAGAGAGAGAATTCATATACTGATTATAAATTGTTAAATTAATGTTGGATGTCCGTCACTGTTCTGTAAGTGGGTATACAATAAAAACACTTTTATAATATAACATATACAATTTTAAATATTTTTCCATTGTATTAACAAAATAATCGAAGCATTAAAAGCAATGCTCAACAGAAGACAGCCTGCTACAATCCTTCCTATTTAGCTTTGCCGCTCTGAAAAGTTTCAGTGAATAGATAAGACCTGAAGGTGAACTTACAGGCTCAGTGAGGCCAAAGAGGAAATGTGAACTTCAGCGTCTGTGGCTTTCCAATGAGAATGCCATGCCAGCCCCAAATATTTAAATATTGGGACTTTACCCTTGTGATTTCAATGGATGAGGGAAAGCTCAAAAAACATGGACCCTAAGATACTCAGGACCCAAATTAAAGCCTTTTATTAGAGTTCAAAATCAACCCCTTGAATTGTCCCTGGAAACTGGTTGGAGTGTAGTGCAGTCTATCGAGCACTGGTGTAATATGCTCTGTGCTTGAAACTCTGCTATGTACGTGGGCTGTTTACACTATTGAAGTTTCTATGGTAAAGAGTTATGTAGAGTATTACAGAAATTCAGTATATAGAGGTGGTAAATGCAGGGGCAATGGTGGTAAAGTGTACATCTAGTAGGTAAGATTACAATCTCGTGTTCAAGTAAAGATGAGAAAAGTACTCATGGCTACAGTTGCTATCTGGGTATCCAAAAGCAATCCAGGATCCAGAAAGAATCCTGAAGATTCCAATAAAGCTTTGTCAGTTGAAGGGGCATATGTCACCTCTACCATTTCCTCTGGTTGTTATTGACCCATCCCACCAATATCATTTCAGTTTTATCCAGACTGAGCCATGACCAAATTGTCTCTGTCTAATAAATAGATGTAAAGATGTGTATATTATTAATCTTTTTTTTTACTAATAGTACAATGGATTTGACACTTTTGAAATTTAGTTGTTTATCATTTCTTTTCAGGGAGTAAGATTGCTTTCATACCTGTACAAAGAGGCTCTCAATAACTGTAGTAATGAACATTACCCAGTTCTTCTGTCATTGTTAAAAACCAGCTGTGAACCATATACCAGGTGGGTTGCAGACTATTTGTTTTATAATTGTGCTTAGCAGTGGCTCTGTAATAATAACCTACTGATTTTCCATTTGGGCATTTTTAATGTAATCACCACTCTGAAAAAGTGGATAACTAGGCTGGTTTAGTTTATATAGGGCAGATAGCTTGAAGATTTTCAGAGTGGATGTGAATTATTTTTAATGATTTAAGGTGTGGTTCGGCTCTGAAAAGTGACTGCAAAAATGGCATTGTGTGGTTCTATATTTGCTTCCCAGTGACTTCCGTATCAAAACTTTATTTTTATTTTTTTTAAACAAATAAAAGGATATTTTTTTCCTAACAGCCAACCCAGCAAATTCACTCAGGGATCTGAGACTCAACCAGGGTTCGTTTTCTTTCCTTCTCGTACATCATCACCACCAGTAATAAAGATCCTGCAGACATTTAGTTACACCCAAAACCAGGAGAGATCCCACCTCATTCTCATATACCTTTGTTGACTCTTCAGTGTTAATAGCAGTTCAAAAGTGGTAAAAACACCTTTTATATCACTAACATAAGCATAGCTGTTGAGTAAGCAGATGTTATCTTTAATAGAGTCCCTTGGATGTAATCAATAGCCACACAACTTTGGAAATTACTTATCTACTTCTATAGAGATGCTAAGGAGTGTATAAAATATTAGACATTTTTAGGAACTACAATAGTAATTTAAAAATAATCAATAATAATGTGGTAAGTATAATAAAATTAAACAGGACAAAACAAACCCATCAAGATATTTTGAACTGAAGACTCCTCCCACTGCCACCCTTTCCGTATGTTCAGTTCCCAGTCAAATTTTGGGCCTCAGACCTTCTCAGCTGTTGAAATACTTAATTATGGCTTCAGTTCTGCAACTTATACATTGGCAGACTACTGGATCTTCATTGTGTTTATTGCAGGATTAGGACAGTAAAGTTATAAGTACATGCATAAACATTTGCAGGATTGAGGCATAAATGTGTTTGTAACAAGTCTCTATGAGAACATCAATTGTTTAAGCAATAATGGTTGCCATAGAGGTCATTTCCTGCCAGCTAATGGCTGTCTTGAGGATGTTAACCCAGTCATTAATTCATTAACTTCCAGGAAATGTACAACCTGGAAGTTGTTGTTGCTGTTATAAATCTTAAAAATATAAGGATATTAATACACAAAAGGTCTTATTTTTAATTAGGTTAAAGTTGAATTGCGGTTGCTATGGATACATTTTTCTGTTTACAGTACCAGTCTGTTCCTAGGCATTAGACCTGTACAGTAACCAGTAGAAAAGAAGGACTGGGCTGATGCTGCTGTGGGACCCTGAGTTTCAATATCTGTAACTTAGGATAATTTTGTTTCCTCTGTACATACTGGGAGTGTTATCATAAATATATGAAAAAAAGGAATATTTTCTCCCAAAATAATAGTTCACATTTCTCCAGATATATCAAAAGCTGCTCTACCTCAAAGGAAAAATTGTCTGAATTTGTGTCCTAGAGTTCTATAGCCTCTCTTCTCCTTCTAAACAAGTTGCATCTAATTAAAATTCTTTCTTCCTACCCCCTTCCCCATAAAATGTATTCTATCATTATGACAGTGCAAAGGTTTTTATATGTGTCCAGATCAGTAAAAAAAGATTGTTACTTGAATTAGAATGATTTTAAACTGAATGTTTGCAGTTAAGATTCTCTAAAAAAGATGTTTGTTGTGGCAAAATGAGGTTTTATATTTTTGGGGAGTTAACTATAGATGTGATCATGCTTAACTTTTATATTTATCCTCCACATGACTTAAAGATTTACCTTTTTGTCATGACTTTGACAAATCTGCTGCTGATTTAATATTTGCGGGGTGTGCATGCACACACACATGTGCATACATACAGATTGAGATATATATGTCAAAGAAAATCATCTGTTGTGTGTATTGGTTCAAAATAAATAATTTTAAAAAGGAAAGAGGGACTTAACTCTGTTGTATAATAATCTTCATTTTTTAGGTTTATCTATGATTGGGTGTACAGTGGTGTATTCCGGGATGTTTATGGCGAATTCATGATTCAAGTAAATGAGGATTATCTTAGCTTCAGAGGTACAGTACATATATGTAGAACTTGTAGTTTTTTCAATTTGCATTCTTGTTATCTTTATTAAATACAATATACTTTGATCTTTCTTGTCTTTGATCTATAGATAAACATTACTGGACCCATGGATATATTTTGATTTCAAAAGAAGTAGAAGATTGTGTCCCTGTGTTTCTGAAGCATATTGCCAATGATGTATACATTTGTGGGAAAACCATAAACTTATTGAAATTGTGTTGTCCTAGGGCAAGTACTTGCTTGGTTCTTTCACATTGCGCTACAAAAACAAATTCTTAGCATATGTTGACTAGCTCTGTGGCAAATAAATTTATGCTTTTATTGATAAGTGGCCCTGTCAAGGATGGATGTTGAAGAATGTTATTTAGCTGTTTACCTTCAAGTATTCGTGACCTCAGTATTCCAGTGTAACCCAGATGTTGATAGCAAATTGACAAACTATGAATGTGCAGAAGCAAGTTTAAAGTACCCTTTATACAACTTTAGGTTTCATATTTTCCTTTGTGTAAACCCTGAATGTTTTAGGCCTCCAAGCTATTGTTCTCCAACACCCAGACAACACTGACCAAAGCAGAGGGCCTCCTCTCCCTAAAGAGCTGAGTTTAGCCAATCTGGAGATCATACCTTCTCCCCCCATTATTTTGGCTTTTTTTTTTTTTTTTTTTTTTTTTTCCTTTTTTCTTCTTTTTTTTTTTGTTTTTTTTTTTTGCTGCACCCTTATTCAGACACACTGTAATAGTTCCACTGTATACATTTTTTGCAAAACAGATCTGTTTGTCGTAGGAAGAAAGATTGAAATAATAAATTTAAAGTTCCCTTTAATTTACACTTTGATCTTTTCATCTGATTTCTAAGATCTTGTTTTTATATACCTTGCAGGTCTCGGTCACAGGGTATAGAAACATGATCCTGTTATATCAGTTCCATTTTAATATCTGGATGTACGTATTGTACCTAAAGGCAAGCAGTGGCCATTATTGGACACGTAATGCCATAAGCTATTCAAGAATGTAATATGATTAAAAATAGATATTTACACATCTGCAGAATGGCTCAGAACAAGACTCCTCATAGGAAGTATCTCAAACAGTTAATATATGCATATGCAATCATAAAGCCTGATTAGTCATTTAAAATTCACAGACTTTTTTCCCCACTATTTAATTGTATAATATTTCCTATTTGTAGCATTACATATGCTGGTCAGATATCCCTGTTCCTCGGATTTCTGTTATTTTTTCCCTTGAGGAGCTGAAAGAGATTGAGAGAGACTGTGCAGTATATGTGGGTCGAATGGAAAGAATTGCCCGTTACAGTTCTATTAGCAAGGAAGAAAAGGTAAATGAGTAATAAAGAAGAATGAATTTTATATCATTAGCATGTTTAAAGAGAGCTCAGATTTCTAATTTTATTGTATATGTAAAATACTGACATTCATGACTATAGTCTTTCTGTGGTGGTCTGCTTGCTTAGTATTGCTATCTCAGGGGGAAAAAAAGACTAACATAATTACTTTCTTCATTTTGTTTAACTGGCATGTCATTATTGTTGACATTTTCATGATTTTTGGAAATAGTTTTGGAGGATGTTTCACCAGGAGTTTGTTGCATCTGCTTTAATCTATTAGGGAAAGGTAATCAAGACTCAACTAGTACACTATCAGAGTCGAACTTGTTTATTAACTAATCAGATTGTTCCATTTGCCAGTCTTTTAATCATTTGCATGGCTAATTGTTTTAGTAGAACTTCATTACTGTGAACAGATCATTGTGTTAATAAATCTTAGTATAACCTTAGATTTTACATTCAGTGATTTGCTGAATTAAGTGTCCCATTTATTAAGTGGCTATAAATCCTGGAAGCCAGCTACCTTAGGACATTATTGCTATGTGTATGAAAGTGTATACTTTAAATTGCAATGCTATCTCTTCATGTTTGAAAAGCATAATAAAACTATATATATTTATCTCCTAGGATTTGCGCATGGAGATTGCGAAACAGGAGTTGATTGTTCATGCTCGAGAAACAGCAAGTAAAGTACTAAAAGCCATTAATGGTAAGTTCCAGTGGTGTTTTCATCTAGTGAATTTTTTCTTTGTTTTTTCAGTATGTTGTAAAGTAACTATTTTAAATTTAAATACAGATCAACAAATATCAGAAAGAATGACTTTGGATGCAAGGAAACGGGAACAGTTTCAGAAATTAAAAGAACAGTTTGCAAAAGATCAAGAGGTATTTCTGTGGTTTGATTGCATTGAGAATTACATTATTTGCTAAAGAAAAACAAAGAGAAATTCCAGTTTTACAGTGAAACATCAATTATTATGAAATCTAATCTTAGGAACGACCAATTATACAAACCATTTTTTCTGAAGGGAGGGAAAAATCACGTAATAGTGATGTCTATGAAGAAAAAGGCAACAACCCTTCACATTCTGATGTTTTCAGTGCATTGGAAATCACCTTGCAGTGGTTTGAAAGAGAAGAAGACAGTAATGCAGTGGACCATACTGCAGTTTATGCACTGTACCTATTGTAATTTTGAAATGTTCAATTTTATGACCTCCTCAATCCCCAATTAGTTTATAAAATAAGGGGTCTACTGCACATTCTGAAATCACTCAAACACCTAATGATATACAGTTTAAAAAGCTCTTTAAAATGTGTACATCTATCTGACTGGGTTGGTGTTGAAAGTGATTTTTTTAAGAGTTCTGAATGTTTATGTAGCGTCGACTTACAATGAAACAGGAAGAGATTGATGATGATTTCAGCTATGCCCGAGAGCTCAGGGAGAGAGAGAAAAGACTGAAAGCCTTAGAAGAGGAACTGGAAAAAAAGGCAAGGTAATGTATTAAGAAACAGTATTTGTGGTTAGTCTTCCAACGGTTTCAGATCACATTTTCCCGTAAGGTCTGGCTTTAAAAACCAATTAAAATATTGCTCTTCATTTTGGAATCCTAGCAATGCTCTAGAGAACAGACAGTCTACACCAATGACATCCAGATTGGTTTTTGTCATAATCTTGGCTTTAGAAAAACTTCAACAACAAAATTTGTGATCAAAAGCTGCCCCCGCAGCAAAAGAATCGGATGTCAGAGCAGATTTAAAAACAGTACATGGGAATTAACATAGACTTTTTTGTTTTGTTTTACTGCTAATGTTAAATGTGGGTTACAATACTTTCCTCTGAGTCTACATGGACCCCGATCTTACTTCAGTGGGGCTCTACTTGGGCCTAAGGTCCACCCAAGTGGGTCTGATTGCATGGTCAGAGCCACAGTTTATACATTGGTGAATGCTATTTGGATTATGTTTTGAATAGCTGTCAGAGATTAAGGGCTGCATTTTAATCTAAGGGCACACATTGATGGTGTCTGAGTACGTAAGGTGAAATGTATATCTGAGTTCCTTTTAGTTTGATATATAATTGGGACTCCCATGCAGGTCAGGTATTTCTTGGTAGTTAGTCATTAGCAGGGGTAGAGCCTTGGGCTTCAACATGTACCTTCAAAATCTCCAGCTGGAGGTGGTGGATTCTCCGTTTCTTGATATCTTCTGCTCAAAACTGGATGCCTTTGTGGAAGATATGTGTTAGCCAAACACAAGGTACAGGGCTCAATACAGGGTAATTGGTTTAAGGGACTGTGATATATAGGAGGTCAGATTAGATGATCACTCCAGGACATACCGTAGCCAGGAGTCATTACTGCTCCCATTAACCATCAAAAGGACAAATACAATATATTTATGTGATTAAAAATTAAATTGATGAGGACAGTGCCATGGGTGTGGTGTTCTATTTTTAATTGTTTTTATTTATCAGGTAGACTTAAACAGTAATGAGCAGGAAAGGAACACTTTTTTCAGTGTTAAAATTGGTTATAATTAAGACTGCATGTCTGTCACAGAGGTCACTGAAGTCATGGATTCCATGACTTTCCATGACCTCTGTGACTTTTGCAGCAGCTGGTGCGGCTGGCTCAGAGGTTGCCCGAACACTCGGGCAGCCCCTGGGCCAGCAGCAGCAGCAGTTTGGGTGTGGGAGGGGGCTCAGGGCTTGGTCAGGGGGTTGGGGGAGAGGGCAGCGCTTACCTCGGGGGAAGAGGACAAGGGCTCCTCGGAAGCAGCTGGCATGTCCCTTCAGCTCCTAAGCAGAGGGGCCAGCTTTCAGGCACCGCCTCCATAGTTCTCAGTGGCTGCAGTTCCTGGCCAATGGGAGCTGCAGAGCCGGAGCTCATGGTGGGGCAGTGCACGGAGCCCCCCTGGCCTTCCCTCCCCCTAGGAGCTGCAGGGACATGCTGGATGCTTCCGGGGAGCTGTGCAGAGCCAGGTAGGGAGCCTTCCAGGCCCTCCAACCCCCCCGCCCCAGCACCAGCAGGAGTTCTGTGCCGCACGCTACCACCTGCGCATCCCGTCCCCCCAGCACCAGCGGGGATCCTGGGCTGCCCAAGTTTTAGTCAGGGGTATATAGTACAAGTCATGGACAGGTCACGGGCTGTGAATTTTTGTTTACTGCCTGTGACCTGTCCATGACTTTTACTAAAAATACCTGTGACTAAAACGTAGACTTAATTATAATTGATGTAAGTTCTGCATAGTAATTATAGCTATTACAAGCTTTGACATTACTCATCAATATATACAGCTAATGGTAATTTGTCTTTGTTTTCTATTATACATTTAAGCACATTTGTTATGAAAAATTAGTGTCCTAATAACATGGTTCTATAAAAACTTATTGACAAAAAATACCATCCTATTTTCATTACATTTTCTCAATTGGATTCTGTACTGTGGATGAAACCTCTGGTTTTTAATTTTAAAAATATATAGTCTAGAGATCTATCATTTTCTTGCTCTTCTACACCAGCATATGGTCTCAATATACAGAGTGCAAGATGAAAAATATGCAGGTGGAGTGTGTGTAATATAGTATCTTTACTATCCTTCAGGCAAGAATTAATTGACCATTATAGCAAACTTTCTGATGATGCAGCCCGTAGGGAGCAAAGAGCTTTATGGAAAATCCAGCGGCACAAACTGGAAACAGCCCGTCTCAACTTTCTATTAGAAGATCAAAAACACATTGAGGTATCTTTTACAATTTTATAAGAAATATCATTTGTAGCATTTTAACATTTGATACATTAAAAGCTTTTTGGTTTTGCTATTTTGATTTTTAGGAGATGCTTGAAAAACTTCCTGATGGGAAGTACAGGAGGAAATTAGACATTATTCCGCATAAGCAGTGCCAAACAGTCTCAATTATGGATGCTGTTGTAGAAGAACCGAGCTCTCAGGTTGGTTTATTTTCTGACAGAAGCATTGCATGACAATTCCAAGTTTTCTAATGTGAATTTTCTAAATCTGTGATCACTAAATAGAAGAGTCACCATGGCAGAAATGTGAATGAGTATTATAGAATTATGGTGCTGACAATAAAAGGGGGGACTGGAAATAAAATCTTGATCTGGAAAAGTAGTTTAAAATACATACCAACTGTATGTAAATGGCTGAAGAATGCAATAATTATTTCTATTTTAGGTATCTACTGTGGAACCTGTGCATTCTGACAGTAATGTTGTCAGAGGTGATTCTGAATCTGGACTGAAGAGTATTACTTCTGCTGATAAACCATTGGCTTTGCCCCAGTTAGTAAATACTCACGTTAATCAACATTCTGAGCCAGCTGCAGCAGGAACTGAATCCCAGCTACTAAGTACAGAACAAACATGGGATCCATCACAGAGTGCTAATGCTCTTCCTGAATCCAGTCTAAATATTGAGGATTTCCTACCAGAATCACAGGAAGAACAACCTGCTGTGGTTGGCTCTTTACTAGATGAAGGATCTTTACTAGATGAAGCATTTCAAAATATTAGCTCAGAACTTCCTGAAACTACTCAAATAAGTGAAAGTCAGCCTCTTTTGATAGGAGCACTGCAAGGAGAAGACAATACACAGTTACATCAGCAAAGTGAATATGATTTTAATACAATTCTCAGGCCAGCTGCTGTTTCACAAGGACATGGCAGAGTTGGAGAAAATGTGTTTGTGGAGAGTAGGAGACTTCAGTGGAATATTCATGGACATGTATCCAATGCCAGCATTAATGTAGGGGAATATGTGCCTCATGCAGAGACTTCCCAGTCACATTCAAATCCATATGGACATTCTTCAGATTCGCACATAAAGATTGGGGAATATACCTCTGAAGTTGAATCTAGTCGGCCTCGCTGGAATATTCATGGGCATGTTTCTACAGCTCATATTAAAATTGGGGAATATACGTCAGAGGTAGAGCCCTCTAGGCCTAGATGGAATGTTCATGGACATGCCTCGGAAGCTAATATTAAGATTGGCGAGTACGTGTCAAACATAGAGCCTACAAGGCCTCGGTGGAACATCCATGGTCATGCATCTGATGCCAATATGAAGATTGGGGAAAATGTGTCGGAGCCTGTACCGTCTAGACCTCGGTGGAGCATCCATGGCCATGCATCTGATGCCAATATCAAGATTGGGGAAAATGTGTCTGAGGCTGTACTATCTAGACCTCGGTGGAATATCCATGGACATGTTTCACAATCACACATTAAAATGGGAGAGCTAGTTTCAGATACTGAGCTTTCAAAACCTCGTTGGAGCCCTTTTGGCCATGCATCTCAGTCAAACATTAAAATAGGGGAGTGGTCTCCATCCACAGAAAGTGATCCGATACCTCATAATAAAACTATCTCTGGTCACTCATCAGACTCTACAGTTCAGACATTTCTGTACAATGGAGAATTTTCTCCCACTGATGAAAGTAAAAGAGACGATAAATCATCAGAAGGCAAGGAAGAGGTCTTACCCCAATCACAGTCCTCAGACAGTGTTCCAGTCCTTTCAAATTCTAATATTGAAGGTGAAAAGCAAGAAAACATCACAGAAGAGAGAGAGAAACAAGAAGGTTAGAATAAGACAATCAGACTGTATTCAGTTGGTCAGTAGTTTTTTAGGACCTTATAAAAATTACCATCTAGTGTGTTTGTTCTATCTGGATACTTATGAATTAATTCATTGAGTATATGGCTAAACACTATTAGAATTTTTAGGCGAGAATTTGCATCTAGTCTAGTCTCCTGCATGAAAAGAGTGAAATATTTGTTAAAATTTTCCACTGGTTTGAAACTTTGCAGACCAGTTATAATTCTAGTGTGTTTTTAAATAGCTACCTTGCACTCTGAAATTGAAAAATGTTCTGACAATACTTTAAATATATTAATGCTAATAGTGTCACTGTGTAATATATACAAGCATGTGAACCTAAAGTTCCCCGTTTTTCAAGTGCATTGTAATGGTGGTTTTGTTACAGATTTTGCATTCTTCTGGAATTATGATCAGGTCTGAGATATGATCCAGTGACTATAGGCAGTCAGCTGTATTTTGTATGTTCATGGGTGGGTTTTTTTTTTCTGATACTGTTTCAATTTGTGTTATTACAGTAATTGCAAAAGATGTCTGCAAAGATCTCCCTCTAGAGCTTCCTCAGGGTTCACAGGTAAGGAACACATCATTTGTGCATGGGATTTATGAGATGATCGTCTCTGAGAGGAGGTGTTATTATTGTCTGCATTCTCTTAGACAGAGGAACCTGAAAAATCGATTGCACTGACTGTTACACCTCAAGAAACTTTACTTTCTGAGGCTTGTGCTTCTGAGACTAAAGAGAAGGAAGATGATGATGATACGTGGAAGAAAGAACAAGCTTATCTGAAAGCCTTATCAGACCAGTATTGCCTTGAAAAATACCAAGACAGCTATGATTTAATGTGTGAGTAGAACTCTTGAAATCTTAGTTCAGCAAGATGATGTAATGGTCTTGAGTGAGAAATCAGGCTTTTAGCATAAGGAAAAGTTCTTAAATGATTTTTATCGTCAAAATTATTAAGTACAGTAGCAAAACTATTTTTCTTTGCATAAAAATCTGAACTCTACTGTAGCGTGTTTTGACTTTTCTAATCTGGAATGACTTTTCAGGAGATTAATTGAAATAGCTTAAGTATAACAGCTTACAATTTTTATATGTATTCTTCAATTTAGCAGAGTTGCCAGTTTCCCATCTCTTGCATCATGTGATACCCAGGTCATACACTTTCCCAGTGGATCCTTTGGTACAGTCAGCAACAGATGAAACAGCAGTACAACTTAGTGAGCTTTTATCTCTACCAGTGCTGATGAAACACTCTATTACTGCTCCACTAGTGTCTCAGTAAGTATTAATTAGGAAAAACAAATCCGCTTTTATTAACTCAGTTATTTTTTCTTCACTGGGCATTTTCCCTTGAGACAGAGCTGCACGAAAAACTACTTACTACTTCTTAGAGTGCTATTCCACACATGCGTACACATGCATGCCGTGTGCCTGAGTCTGGAAGTTCTTCAAAGGAGTGTCCATTGACTCTCACGTGCGCATTGGCTTCCCGCATGTTCCCGACCAAGGGTATAATAGGCGGCGCAGGTTGATGCCGCTCCAGTTCCTTCTTAACGCTGCATGGCTTTGGTTGGAATTGTGTCCTTCAGTGTATAACCTGTAAACTAAATTTGTTGTGAATAGTTTTTATATCTAGTTTAGTAAGTATAGGGTATAGGATAATTTCCTCCCGCCCCTGCCTTTGGGGAAAATCCTCCCCGGTCTCGGGACTATCCCCAGAGTTCCAGGATTCAAGAATTGAATCTCTTGCCCTCTCTCCTTCTCTGTCAGTGACTAGCATCAAAGGTGCCTGTATTGCCTGGGTGAAGTATACACCTCTCCAAAGATACAGACATGACACTTTTGCTTAACCAGTCTGGATCCCACCAGATGAAAGCTTCATAAAGAGTGGTTACTGCTAATATTTTTCCTATGGTCCATGTAGTGTCACTAAAGCCCTTTATATATAACCAATCTTCAGATATGCTGGCAATTCCAATCAAGCTATAGTTCTCAGTAGTGGTAGGTTTTAGTTCTGGTTCATCCTGGATACTATCTGTATATAAGGTTTCTCCCATTTTCTTTAGTGCATGTGAATGTCATGCAAGCTTGTACATTATGCTAAATATTGAAATGTTAATTTGATAGTAATATCCATGACTGCATTTTAATAGTAAGGAAAGAATTGTTCTTAAGAGTGATTGTCAGTTCATGTTTTTATTAGTGTTTCCCTTGTGAACAAAGCAATAGTCGATTACTACTTTGTGGAACTGAACATAGAGAAGAATTTTGAAGCACTACGGCATTTTTTGTTAATGGAAGATGGAGAGTTTGCTCAGTCGCTTAGTGACCTACTATTTGAGAAGGTATTTGTGCTGACTTGTTTATAAATCTGGTATTTGGTCATTTGCAATAGGCGTGATGTTTGTGAACCTCTAATATCTCATAAAGTGATATTAAGGACCGTTCCCAGTGTTGACATAGGTAGCTAAAAAAAACCCAATATGAGTAAGGGTGGTAGAGAGGTGTGGGTTAAAATCCTATCTGCTATTTTTCCCCTTGTCCATTTTGTACCCCCTTGTGCCACGGCAGCAAATTCTGTAGCAAAGAGGCCCTGCTGAGGCCTTAATGACTGTGAGCCAAAATGCACCCTCTCTTAGAAATGCACCCTCTCTTAGGGATACATGAGGCCCAAGAAACTCTGTAAGAGCAATATATTTTGCTGATATTCTCCCTGAGGAATGGGGTGATGGGATTTGGCAGACTGCAGAGGAGGCTAGCGGTATGACCTCTAAACTCAGCAGAAATTGGAGCTCTTCAGGGAAGAGAACCTCCAGTCCTGTGAAAGGCTAGACTGCGCTATTGCTCTGGCCCCTGCTGGGAGGACACTGTTGCCACTGGTTCAGTCCCACCACTCCCCTCCATCACCCTGCAGGGACCCATGCTGTGAAAAGTTGGTCTACATTGCCACTTCAAAAATCCTACAGTGCACTGTTGAAGGAGAATTAGGGAGGGGAATGTTGGAATCTTCTGCAGAGGTGGCACTTGTATGCCTCATTTCTGTGTCCATGGGTGAGGTCCATCTGAGTAAGGTCACAGGAAGGATGGTCTGGGCTTATGTCTGGCTATCAGGACATGCAAGGGCACACCAACTCTCTAGAAGCTGAGAGCATTTTGGTCACGATCGAGAAAAGCACTTTAGCACATGCTTAACTTTGAGCATATGTGAGAAGTTCTGCTGAAGTCAGTGGGGCTGCTTGTGCTTAAACGTTTTGCATCTGAGTCTCTATGCTCAGTATTGTCATTTTAATAGTTGCAGGGGGATCAGAATAACATAAATGAAAGGTTTAGAATGACATGATTTTTTTTTGTTCTTTATTCATTTTGAGACCTGACGCCTGCAATTCTGAATTTGCTATGTACTTCTATTTATATTTTCCATAACAGCAGTTAAGGCTTTATATTTGTATTTTGAAAAGTGAATTAGCAAGTTCTCATTTGGATTTTCAACAAATAAATTAATTTCATTAGTAAACATATGTCAGAAAACACATTAAAGTTGCTTTAAAGTTCTAAAGGTGAAAATTGAGAGGTTTATTTCACAGTATTCATTTTGATTCTGTCACATTAATTTGTTAATTAGGTTGTTCTGATGTTGATCATCATGGTACTGAGCCAAAAGACTATGGGTAAAAATTTCAAAAGCAGTCAAGTCCCATTTTCAAAAATGAATAAAACACTTGTGCCTAAGCCACTTTTGAAAATGGGACTTAAGCTCCTAGGTCACTTAGGTGCTTTTGAAAAATTTACCTTAAAGCAAGAACATGACTTGTCTGTCTCTAAAAATTATATGTGTAATGAATTAAGATTTCTTTTTTTCAAGCTTGGTTCAGGGCAAACTCCTGGTGAACTTCTGAATCCACTGGTTCTCAATTCTATCTTAAATAAAGCATTACAGTATAGCCTTCACGGAGACACCCAGCTTGCTTCCAATCTTTCTTTTGCACTCAAGTACCTTCCAGAAATGTTCAAACCCAATGCTCCTGATGCTCTGAACTGCTTGGAGCTACGGTACAAGGTAAGAAAGCATGTAGAAAAGATTATATGAAAGTTATACTTTGCTCTTATACCATGCTCATTTGAGCATCCGTGTTTCTTTGATGTATAGTAACTGATGATTTACTACCTCCCAGAGGAAAAGAGTCAAGAAATTAGGCTAATCTAAATGAATTCATAGGGTTTGCTCATCCTGGTCATTCTATGATGCCATTTATAAATTCATTCAATTATGTTTCAGCAGCCTGTAGTACCTGTGACTGAAAGGGCTGTGAAATATTCTGAAATGATCAAATATGACATGGACAGGTAACGTTAATGACACTTGGTTTTATTTATATATTATATATACTTTTAGGTTGATTGGCCTCTGAACATTGTCATTACTGAGAGCTGCATGAATAAATACAACAAGATCTTCTCCTTTTTGCTGCAGTTGAAGCACATGGTGTGGACTCTCAAGGATATTTGGTTCCACTTAAAACGTACTGGTAAGATAAATTAGAAAAGGTACTACATAAAAACGTGTTTAGCTCTATGTGCCAGACAATAGATTGTAAACATACCATTTAAAACAGGTACTTTGGTCCTTAAAAGTCAAAATTTATTCAAGGAAACTTGTTTGGAATTTGAGACAGGTTTCTGCTGATAGTTTTGTCAAACCATGATTTTTATGGGAACAGTCTCTACAGCAGAGGGGGGCAAACTACGGCCCGCGGGCCACACCTGGCTCGCAGGACCCTTCCCTCTGGCCCCCGAGCTCCTGCCAGGGAGCGGGGTCAGGATAGGCTTGCGGAGGAGCCAGCCCAACTCCCCAGCAGCGCGGCGAGCGGGGCGGAGGCTAGCCCCTGGCCCCTCCCTCAGAGTCACAGTTCCCCCAGCGCCTGGGCAGCGCGGCTGCAGCTCCAGCCTGGTGGCACGGCTATAGCGCCATGGTCAGGGGGCGGGGAGCAGGGGATTTCTGGGGGGGTATGCGAGGAGAAGGGGGAGTTGCAGGGGGGCGCTTAAGGGGCCTGGGCCCTGCTGCTGGGGACAGAGGCAGAGCAAGCCAGGGCCCCCTCCAGCATGCTTGGCCCCTGTCCCCAGCAGCTAAGCCTATACAGGGAGCGAGCCCTGCCCGACTGCCAGGGAGAGCAGCCAAACAAGCAGGAGAAACACACAGGGCAAGGACTGAGTCCCCCTTCCCCGCCACAGGTAACGTGGGGCAGGGAGAGCAGGGAGGGTTGGATAATGGGCCCCAGGGGGGCGGTCAGGGCGTGGGGAACGGGGGATTGGATAGGGGTGGGGGTCCCAGGGGTCATCAGGGCGTGGGGAACAGGGGGGATTGTATAGGGGACGGGCATCCGGGGGGATGGTCGGGAGCAGAGAGCAGGGGTGTTTGGATAGGATGCGGGAGTCCTGGGGGGCAGTCAGGGGTGGAGAGTGGGGGGGTTGGATGGGGATGGGGGCTCCAGGGAGCTGGATTGGGGGCCAGGCCACGCCTCACTCCCCCAGCCTTCCCTACCCTCCCTACAATTTCTGTATCCGATGTGGCCCTAGGGCCAAAAAGTTTGCCCACCCCTGCAACAATAATATCTTTCTGTTTTTATTTTCAGCATTAGTGAGTCGTGCATCAAATTCTGTTCAATTTCGACAGCTCCAGCTGTATAAACATGAAATGCAGCACTTTGTTAAAGTTATTCAAGGTTACATTGCTAACCAAATATTGCATGTAACATGGTGTGAATTTGGCAACAAACTGTCTTCTGTAGGAAACCTGGAAGAAATTCACAGAACACATGCAGAATACCTCAACAAAGCTATTTTCAGGTAAGCAAAGCAGGGAAACACTTCAAGGAAAAAGTGAAGTCAACTGAGCTGTTTCAGTTTACTCCAGCAGAGGATTTGTAAATATGGTATAGCACACATACACCGTCTGTGTGTGTGTGTGTGTGTGTGTATATATATATATACATAAATAAAATGATTTCAACAAACATACAAAGTAGTAATTATACAAAAAAAAATTTGTAAAATCTTTGCATAGGTACAACAGAAGCACCCAGAATATTAGTGCTGTGATGAAAGGGAAGTTCATGATTTGTAGTTAATACCTACTACTTAGGGAAATGAGAGTGTTGTCTGACTGAATAAGTAGTATGTACAAATAATCCAAATTCAAAGATTGCACCGGGGCTGTCTCTATACATTGTTTATATTTTTAATACCTATGCAGAGTAGTTAATTTCAGGCTGCAGGATCATTCCCTGGCAGAGCAGTTGTCATCTGATGTACACAGACGTTGTCTCTGAAAAAAGACCACCACCAGGGTTCATGAGTAGTGGAAGTAGTACTACTTGCTTTATGAATCAGAGGCTGTTAACACTTGGAGCCTCATACACTACAGTTGTTACTAACACCAAACTGTAGAGGCGCTGAGATGTTGTGATAGAGAGCAAAGCGAAGAGGACTAGGATAAGGAGAATGGGGTTGAGAGGTAAGTAGATATGGGAGTGGTGGGGTAAGGAAGAAAAAGAGGTCAGAAATGACTAGGGAGGAAGAGAAGATGGCGAACAGGAGGAGTAGATACAAGAAGAGGCAAAAAGAGTGTGTCCCACTAGAAGTGGCATCTCTTGTTAGTTACAGACAAGAACAGGTGCATCCAGAAAAACCAGTTCAGGCAATGTTAAGATGAACTAGACCATGACACTTAAAATTTAATCCCACCAACATAAAAATAAAGGACAAGTGTCTGGACTGAGCTCTTCATATGTAAATGTCAGCAACCTTGAAAAGTAGGTAAACCATACTGGACTCAAGAGTTACATAAATTCACTCCTGTAGAGTCACTTGTTTTGTTTTATTTTGAAATGATTAAAGAGGGAACCCAAAGGATTCTCTCTGCCTTCTAACCGCTCAAATAAACAATGGCTCTTTAGTTTTTTTAAGTCGTTTTTTTTTTCCCCCTAGAGGACTATTGACTGAGAAGGCCACTCCTGTGATGAACATTATTCACAGCATCTTCAGTCTCATTTTGAAGTTCCGCAGCCAGTTAATCTCTCAGTCATGGAACATTGATGCTGGCAAGCAAATGGCTGTTCATCCCAACTTTGGTTTGATGCAACAATCTTACAATACTTTCAAATATTACTCTCACTTCTTATTCAAAGGTAGGAACTCAGATACGTTATTGGGCTAATTTATATTGCCTCAATCAACTGACACCTGAAAAACCCATCAGTTCTTGCAGTTGTCTCTGATAGTACAGCCTAAAAGCAGGAGAAAGTGTATATTGAACTCATTTTGCTTAGTGCTAATCTCTCCACGTCCACTAATGTAAAGCATCAGAAGTCTGAATTTCTTGGCATGTGTCCCATAGCTGACAATAAGTATCACATTAGGTGGTTTACGGGGAGTAACTCTATGGTAAATAATTGCTTCTTAGCCTGCTATATGCTTAGATTTACCATTTATCTGCAATGTAGTCCTTGAAAACGTATGACAGACAAAAGTATCTAAAATGGCAACACAAAGTCCTTTGAACTGTATTTTACATCTCCTGACAAAACAAATGCTACATCTTACTGTGAGATTGAATTTCCTGGCTCCTGCAAGGGGTTAAGCGACTAAGGCCCACAGTCTGCTCACCTACTGCAAGATGTAGTTAAATCTAGTTCTGCAGACAAGAACTTTGCCACTGTGCAGATTTCTTGCCACGTAGTTCATGTTCTTTTTCACAATAGAATTCCTCGTGGCTGTCACCTCAGCTTGCAGGGTCGGCAAGTTAGAGAGACCCTATCTAATCTTCTGCATTTCCCAAATAATACTGCTCTTGCAGACCCTTCCCGTATTTCTACCAAAAATAAATTCACCTTTTCATGTGAATACAGGCAGCTCCTCACTTTGCTTTGTTAGCAGCCCCAATAGCCAAAGGAGTGCCACTTTTTCCTTTAAATATCAGTCATTAGATACTGTTTCCATCAGATTGTATCCTTCAGGAAATGAGATGCCCTTTTTATTCATTAAGAGTGTCTAAAAGTGGTGTCACAGGACAAAAACCAACAAAAGCAAATATTTCAGGATGAGTTAGAATGGCTGCTTCCAAAGCCTATGGGAAGTCAAAACACTTCTGGGAGCCATCTAAGCCAATCCTATGAGATCTATGGTTGCTTCACGGACAGAGATTAATAGAGCCTCCTGTAAGGAAATATGCAGAGTGACCTGGTCCTTTGCACTCCCCCATATTAATCACCACAAAACAGATGTGTACTTACACATGTCCCTGTAATCTACAAGATTCTGTCTTTCACAAAGGGCGTGATCCAAAGCCTACTGAAGCCGGTGGAGAGTCTCCTGTTGATTTGAGTGGGCTTTGGATCAGGCTCTAATCCTGTATATTCTACACCTTTCCTTCTTCCTTGCATGCTGTTACTGCTTGCAAATCCCCCTTGGTGCATGAGATGTTTATGAAGCCAGGGCAATTTTTCTTACTTTGATTTAAGCCCATCCATTGGAAAGATCCCTTCTTTATTGTTAATGATGGTTAGCATTAGTCAAGATTTGCAATCATCCCAGGTGTTTGTCTCATGGTCCCTTCTGTAACACAGTGGTCTTGGCATAAGAAAACTAGCAGAGCTGTTTCTTTTACAGAGGTCGGGCATCTCAGTAGTGCCTGCCCACTGTTTAATATGATGTTATGGGAACCTAAAATTGTCCTTTTAAAAATAGTTTGGATAAAATGTACTTGTAATTAGAAGAATAAAATTCCATTTATATGCACACTGTCTAGGATTGACACTTCTGTTCCTTGCCTTGCATCTGATTTGTTGTACAGACAGTGAATGAGAGCACTTTGTAATTCGAGAAATAGAGGCAGGGGCTCTTTTATACAGTTTTCATGATTTGTTTCTGTCTACATCAGACTTCTGCAATAGGCTTTTTCCATGATAGTATTCGTACATTTAATCAACAGATTGACTTGTTAGAGGCTTATATTAAGATTTGTGTATTTGCTTTTCCTACAGTGGTAACCAAACTTGTAAATAGGGGATACCAACCTCACCTGGAGGACTTCCTGCTGCGAATCAACTTTAATAACTACTACAAAGATAACTGAGCTCTAGTATACTGTAAGGAATACTGGTAGCATGGTAAAGAAAATACAGCTACAGCTTTATGCTTATTATTTATGGAAATTGATGCTAGTAACAGAGGCTTATCTTAAGAAGTAATCCATTGTTCAAAACAACTTTGAAGAGTGAAACCATAGCACTTAGAAAATCATGCCATTTAGAATCTGTACAAATCACCACTTCATCAGCACATTGAGACTTGATCCCGTCATTACAGATACAGGGAAGAATGGGGCCTAGTGTTAACATGGGAAAGGGTATACATGTAAATCGGTTAATATATAGTATACATGTTTCCTTTCAGTGTTGTGAATTCATGTTCAATGTAAATACATGTTTGTGAAACAAATAAACAAAAAGATATCTTTTAAAACTTCTTTGGTCCATTTAATTTATTTAAAAACTGACGCACATTCTCAGTCTAAATCACATTTACATTTAATATTCTATAATTATTTCTACAATCTGCTATTCACAAGGAATGAATAATATGGCTGAAATATGACATTTTGAGTACATCTGCTCAGCTGCTGGAAAGTGAGACTGGATTTGGAATATTTGTGAGAAACAGTAAGTCATTGGATTACATAACACAAAACAGTTATTTAAAAAAACAAATAGTTTGGTTGAAGATGTGCATAAAATGAGATTGGTATGTAAAATGGCAAACACGAAAGTTTAGTATCACTAACACAAACAAAGCTCTAACTATGAATAACCTCAAATCAGTGATTTTTAACCAGTAAAACTAGAAATCCCATATACTTATAAACCATTAAGTTGCAAAGATAAATCATATATTCATATTTAGTAGAGCTGGTAGAAACTCAGAATTTCTACATCTCAAAAATTGATTTTGTTCTGATTCACATGGTGGGGCTATACCAAAGCCACAGACCCTGGAAACGCAGGGTTCCCAGCACTGGGGCAGTGTGCATAGTGGGGCAGTTTTGAAAATTTGAGCCAAATGTGTTTATCCTTTTAGAGTTGCATCAGGATTTTTTTTTGGAGTTAGTTTCCCCCTCCCCCCTTTTCCTTCCCCCACCCCCGCCCCCAAGTACATTACTGAATTTTGAAGGTTCACAGTCCGTATGGAATTATGGTTCATGGAGGTGTGTAATGCCTATGCTAGATTTGAAATATTTTGGTTTTGAGTTACTGTTTTTTACAATGTTGCTTTGTGCAGGCACAGTAGAAAGACCTTAATAAAGCCTACAAGTGGGCGCTTAGCTGAACATGTGTGTTCACTATATATATGTGTGCTCTTTTTGCGAGTCTATGCACCTGTGTACATGCTCAGTTATTCACAATTAAGAGACATCAGAGGTGTTTGTTAGCTGGTGAAATGGCGACCTTCTTTTCTTTGTGTTTCTAAAACGTACCTGAGGACTTAGATGCAAAAACTTAATATTTCATTGTCACTAGGTTGTGAAATCAAACATTTCGGTCAGAAAATCCCAAGTGTAAAGTTGGCTACAGTGGGAGCTGAGGCTGCTCACTTCCTTGTAGGAGCAAGTCCATATTTAGTCTCAAAGGATTGCAGTGTTCAAACATGGCAGTGTGTATCTCTCAGACTGTTTCACACCTGTGTCTGTAATATATGTATTTAATGTCTTTCTTTGTCCTCAGTGGGAGGGGGAATTCACACCTGTAGAGTTATTATATAAATTATATAAATTTATTCCCCCAAAATTTAGCCAGTTAATAATAAATAACTGGCTAAATTTTGGGGGATTATTAACTGGCTAAATTTTGGGGGAGTTAAACCTAGTCACAACAGCAATACTTTGGAGGGGGAAAATGGCAACAAATCAGCAAATTTCCGATTTTTTTGTCTGTCTTGGCACACGAGCCTCCACTAGAGGTCAGCCAAGCAACTTTGAAAGGGAATAGTGAATAGAAGGAAATAGACCATTAGAAAAAGAGCTACCTGAACCACACACACTTTTTTTCTATAATACAATTTCAGAAGGGCAGTGTTAACTTTCCTATGGGTTCAATCCGCTTCATGCTGAAGTCAATGGAAAGATTCCCACTGATTTCAGTGGGAGTTGGATTAGGTGCTATGTTATGAAGGGACGATAGATAGTGATGATAGGAGAAAATTAGACATGGAAGGCACCTATAGCTTACCGAGTTCTTCCCCCAAGGGACTCTTTGCTGGTAGTTGATCTAGTTAATTTTTAAATTTCTTGAGCACTTTTTGAGAATGATTATTCCACAGTTTAATATACTATTCAATGGCAAAAACTACATCAAAGCAGAGTTGCGGTTGCTTGGTGATAGGTCATTCCCTTGCAAAACACTGAGCTGAGCAACACGAGGAAATGCACAGTAAAGATTGCCCATGCAACATTAACTCCACCCTGCTTCAGCACGGCCCCATTTTCCCTGTTAATATACATACCTTTACTCTGCCAACCACGCAGCTGCTGAAATGTACAAGTTGTTTATTTCCATTTATAACCCATTCACTCTCACTCATTGCATTCCATCTAACACTAGTAAACACTATTAAAGGACAAAAAGGAAAAAAAAGTTTCCCACTAATCAATTGCTAATACGTGGCAGCAGAGTCCATGCAGTTGCCCTGACCATAGCATGAAATTGTCCATTTTTTTAAACTGTGACCATGCCCTGAATTATGCATAATGTTGCCATGACAAAATGTATCCATAACTATGTTACAGTGGAATAGTGTTGGGGTGCACTGGCAGTGCTATGTCTCCTTCACCTGAGCTTCCAATCTCATCTCCCCTACCATGCATCCCCATTTATCCCTCTCCTCACTGCAGCCCCAAGCCCCTGTCTTCCTATTCCCCCACTCCTCTGCCCCCTAATAACCCTCCCTGGAAGCAATCACATGTCTAATTATTTTCACCCGAAGACGTTGATTATATTCCCCGCAAAATAAAATTGCCACCCATAACTCCAGCCATTGAGTTCAAAACTCGTTTTGCCTTAAACAGAAGCCCCCAGCTAATTTAGCCTTAGTTATGTTAGCTGAAGGGGGAGTTCACAGTCAATTAGAAGTCTGTGATTCATCTAAAGAGACAAGATGGATGAAGTAATATCTTTTATTGGACCAACTTCTGTTGGTAAGAGAGACACGCTTTCGAGTTTACACAGAGCTCTTCTTCAGGTCTGGGAAATTCAGGGTTGGTCTACACTAGTTAGGGCAAATTAAGGCAGCTTATGTCGACCTAGCTATGTCAGTGTCTACACTACAGCCTTGCTCCTGCTGATATAAGAGCCCTACTACAATATCATAATTTCATCTCCACGAGAGACATAGGCTTATGTTGGTGTAGTTAGGATGACGCAGTATCTGTGTAGACGCTGCGTTCCTTACATCGGCTGTTGGCTGTCATTCCCCTGCTGCCTGTCTCCGCTCCAAGCTGGGCTGCCACCCAGGATCCTGGCTTAGGCTGCCGCCTGGGCTCCCCACAAGGAGCCTTGCTTCCCCTCTGGGTGAGGATTCACCTGCTGGAGGTGAGAAGCCCTGGGTGGCCGCCTTCTGGCGAGAAGTGCCCTAGGATACGCCAGGGAAGGGTGGTGGAAGAGATGGGGTGAGCCATGAAAGCCCCCGCTTCTCCCCGCTTTCCCCAGCAGCCTGGGTGAACCTGTAGAAGGATCATTAACGGGTTTGTCTCTGGGGGGGGCAGCTAGGCTCCTGGCGGAGAGTTGCACAAAGCTGAGAGCCCTGGCTCTCAGCCCCCCCCCACCCACTGCCCCTCCTCAGTTGGTGGAAGCGCTCCTGGTGAGGATGCACACCACTAACAGGAGGAGGGTAGTGTGGAAGGAGGGTGGTGCACTGGCTGTAAATTGACCTAACATAGGGCGACTTAAGATTGTAGTGTAGACATGCCCTAAAAAATGTACATTTTCTTAAATACTGTTCTCAGTTCAGGTCCATCAAGGATTTAGTGGGTACCATGCACTACCATATTTAAAACTTAATAGATGGAGGCCATTTTGACTTGCACCACATCAATAGTTTGATCTCTAGCTCTGAGCAAAACAAAAACAAAACTCAACCTAGAAACTTTTTTTAAAATGGCTATTGGAGGGGTGGGTTATCTCTGGAACTCCTGGCTCAAATACCTCCAAATTTGGATCACTAACCCCACCTAGACTCCTCCTGAGGCACACCAAATTTCAAAGAAATTCGAGTGAGCATATCAATTTTACATGACTTAGAAATGTTCACCTTTAAACAGATGTCATGACACAAACTTAACTATAGTGATGCAACCTTAACTACAATGCAGCTAAAGTTTTCCTGATATAGAATATCAGGGTTGGAAGGGACCTCAGGAGGTCATCTAGTCCAACCCCCTGCTCAAAGCAGGACCAATTCCCAACTAAATCATCCCAGCCAGGGCTTTTTACTCTAAAATCCTCTTAATCCTATTTTAATTAATAACCCCTTCTACTGCACTTCTTCCTCCTTGGCATTTATCCCTTTCAAAAGCACGTAGAGAGATTGTCTTTGTTTTCACTTAGCTAAGGGTATGTCTACACTACAGGATTAATCCGAATTTAGATAATTCGAATTTGGGAAACAGGTTGTATAAATTCGATTGTGCGCGGCCACACTAAGCACCTTAATTCGGTTTTAAACCACATTAATTCGGTGGTGTGCGGCCACACTACCCCATTAACTTAAATACAGTAATTCGGTGGTGTGCGTCCACACTAACCCTAATTCGAATTAACAAAATCGATTTAGGCTCTACTCCGTTCGTCAAGGTGGAGTACAGAAATCGATTTAAAGGGCCCTTTAATTCGAATTAACTGGCTCTGTAGTGTGGACGGGTGAAGGGTTAATTCGGATTAAGGCAGCTAAATCCGAATTAAAGTCCTAGTGTAGACCAGGCCTAAGCAGCAGTTACTTTAATCCTCTTTTGTAGCTCCCTCCACCCCTGTAGTTATAATTGCTGCTTTACTCTGAACTTCTTCTAATTTCTAGGTATCTGTCTAGTACAGAGAGATCCAGAACTAAAGGGAGCACTTTAAGTGCAGTCTCAGCAGAGCCTTATAGAGAGGGGACTCTCTTTTTAAAGACAAAAATAGCTTTAGCAATTAGAACATAGCTTCTAAAATATATGACAGTCAAATGGGTTTATATTTGAAAGGTTTCTTAGTGAGAAAGGGCCAGTCTGAAGGTCTATATATATTATATCGACCAGCAAAAGCAAGGAAAACCAGTGCTATAGCAGACAATGTGTGTAACAAATGCTGCTCCATTTTTTTCCTAATCACTAAGGATTTGATATTTTACAAGAAAAATGCATGTGTGAGAGCCACTGCAACACCAGTGCTCTCCATAGGAATATTTTGCACAGCCAA